GTCTATTTTCTGCTGATTCTTATTCAGCATCTAAAATTGTATAAATAGTCTCCCCGACATTTGAAGTGTGTTCAATACCCGGTTAAACTCTGTAATAGTCATTTCATTATAACTTGTAATTTGTAACAGACTCAAGTGCAGTCCTCAATAAAGTTTTAAAGAAGTTTTCTTGTTCTAAATCGATTGATTTAAGATACTTGTTCGAAGTGTTTTTCTTATAGCTATAATGCTTCATGACATCATTGCGCGGGAAGTGATAAGTCAACCTACTTGACGTCATTTTTTTCTATAGGTCTGGTTTTGAAATCTATTTTTCAAATCAAGTATATGTAATGTTTTTGAGGATAATTTTTTTAATAGCAACTTTCAACCTCAATTATGAGAATGGTATAGAATAAGTGATGTTGAATATTGCAAAGTAAATGTTACATGTCCTCAAAACATACCTTCAGCCACTTTTCAAATATTTTGAATGAATAGCAAAATAGGATCCGAATTTAAGCGCTTCCCCTCAAGGGTCTCAACAAATGATAAAGCAAGCCAAGATCGTTAACATACCCGGCACTGCCAACTGATACCAATAAAATTGTTTTTATTGAACATTATATCCCAATCCACATCATATAAGCCAAACAATCATGGCAGCATAATTACCATAGAAAATGATAGTGTATTTTTCATATCTATGAATCTAGAATAAATTGATGTGGTAATCGAAAATTTAATTTCTGTGTGGTCTATGGCGGCACATTATACTACCACATTTCTACTGAGACTTGAGAAGATTGATACGTCATTACAGTCGTTTTGTATATAAAAACTGCGTCCTTATAGTGGGTTCAACTTATTCGGGTTAAAGTAACACTTAAAGCTATTTCCAAGGTAATATTTGCGTTAGTTACAGAGCTACAATAACCAAGTAGTCAAGAATCATTCATCAAGTCAAAATCAGATAAATGCTCTTACTATAATAACAAGCATGAATAAATTACAACTGCAAAAAGTATATTTCAAGGTTACTCTGCGCTATGATAAATACTTGATGAATCATTAGAACTCTTCATTTGTTTGGAAATCCCGCAAACTTCTAGTTACGTTTTTTTATTACTTGCAGGACACCTCGTCCAGAAATTGATGAAATAGAGTCATTTTTCGAAGTCGATGGGCGATATCACATTATGCTCTAAAAACTTTTGATGCATTGTTTGTTGGTTGGTTTGTTTGTTTGTTTATTTAAGCCAAAAGTAAAATAAGAAGGTACAAATGATGAATATCGTGTAAAATATAAATAACAATAAATAGTATACAAGTATAAATACCAAAAATACGTTAAATGTCCTAAAATATAAACACAGACAATTCACACATAAAAAATTGCAAACTTTACCAGAAAAGAAAAAAGGAAATATTAGTTAAGATTTAAGAGTCATCCAAAAATTCTCTACAGCTATAATTTAGGCAGCAATTTTTGTCTTATATAAACTATTCGCTATTGACTTCCAAATTTAGGCAAGACGATAAACGTAATAACGTTCCTTGAATTTTTAGATGAGTAGCCTGAAGACATTTAAGAAGGTGGAAAGCAAATCTGTAAAATCTAACGACAAGCTTTTAGCATGCAGGTTTGATTATACAGGGTGTTTGAAAGGTCGACACCAACCTGTTACCGTTTTACTTCCCACGGCTACTGGAGGGAAAGTATTATCGAAAGTAAAATCTTCAAAAATCAGATATTATGAACATCACGACAAAACTCGTCACTCATTTCCGTCGGTCTCTCTGTCACTCTGTCCATTGGGCTTATGACCGCGTATAACTTAAGAAATACCGATCGGATTTCGATCAAATTTTCACACAATGTTACTGCTATGCCAGGGACGCAAAAACATTGAAGTTTTCCAAAATTGGTCAAATGGCGGCACAGAGCAAGGGCTGTGTGAGAGGTGAAAGAACTTGGGGGTGGTTTGTGGGTTGTCGGGGGTTGGGGAGGGTTTATCTCAATTTTTTGATGTTTATACGCACCCAACAGGTAAGTCTATGCAACTGTTAGACAAATTCTACAAATAAAAGGTTTCTCGGTACAGAAAAATATTCCCGGCACACCGGCTGCGGCTGCTGTATATGTATATGCGTATTTTTTTTCATTCACAATACAGATTTACCATTATACAAACACAGTTCATTCACCATGAAAAACCTCCCCATCAACCAAATTCAACGGGATCAGTACAACGACGTCAGCAATTCGATTGAGCGACGTTTTGAAATGGTTCGGCATTATTCAGTTGTGCCTCATGCCCCACCGTTCACAACTCTAATGTCGCAGAAATAAGGAGTGCAGGAGGGAGGAATATAATAAAGCACCCGGGCCTGAAACGATATCGATACTGTTCAATATGCTAGCCGAGTTTTCCATATGAAGAAATTTACGTGAATATATGCTCCAATATGTTTGTACCGGTGCCGATGCTTTCCAATATATTATACGTATTACTTCGAAGGATCGTGATTGTTTCTGAAAGGTTCACCTTTTGGTCGTTTGGCTTCATCACTTACGTGAAGATACCGTCAATATAAGATTATCATAAATCTCAATTAGCTTTTTAGGTTATTTCTGTCTGTTAAGATAATGAGCTGCTTTTAAACGGTTTCAAAACCGGAATTTTTGTTAGTGCTCCTAAGCCGTTTATTAGGAAGCTGAGAACTAAAATATCCAAAGGGCACTAGTGACAATATAAATGTATGCCTTCCTCAATACATCATGATAAACACAACAAAAAGTGAGGCAAATCAAATCTATTTATAATAATCATACTGCATCCATGTTTCAATATGTTATCGTTCACTGAAAAATTGATACATTTTTGTGTCCCAGAAGCAATTTCTAATAGAGGCCTAAAGTGCCTATATTCGGAAGCCAGGTTTTTTTATCAGGAGCGGAAACAGATTAACCCCAGCCCTTTAACATTCACCATCAAATTTTAAGGATAAAGGAGAATAACGAAGATAAGCAATTTCGTTTTTTGTTTACTACAGCTTTACCAACATTGGGCATGAATAAGCACTTTCATCATTTATTAGCAACCTTGAGTCAAAGTTAAATTCAAAAGCTGAGTCGTACCCGATTTGTCAATCGTAGGCTAACTACAACCTGGCTGTTGATTGAAATTATAGGCGTTTTTTGATATTTTGTTTGTTTTAACTGCCAGTTGAATTTTGAGCATACGATTGTCTGGGACTTTCGTTAGATCGATTTAAGTCCGCTTATGGCACGGCGATCTCTATTCAATTCCACGATACCTGATGCTTGGACAAACAAAGTATCAAATTGCTTCCACTTCCATGACATTAAAATAAATGATACCTTAGTTAAATATGTTCATACGTGTACGATTCCCGTATCTCGTAGATTCTATTTTTTGCAGGAGAAAGCTATTATAGCCACTCATAGGCACAAAAGCTCGAGAGTCTTGCCCTGTCGGTTTTTTCTGCCCGAAATGTGAGATTTTTCAGAAATATGGCATACTTATTAAAGTCCCAATTCGTTCGCTACATATCCTATCACAGCAGAGCCAGCACTATTTCGTCATGGTGGACAGCGTTGCACTAAGTTACTTACTCATTCTATTCTCAGCATCGTACATACACATAATTACTCATTTACATAAATGTACAGCTTAGCTAACAGAAACCTATTATTTCTCATTTGGCCTATTTTTATTATTGTGTACTTTATTCAGCATCATCAAGCCATTTGTCCTCGCTTACATGCCTAGCAAAATTGTCAGCAGCAAGCTTCTCGCCAAGCCTCATCAATGCCGCAGGGCTATTACGTAAAATCTATATAATGTAAAAAAACGATAAAATGTCAACTTGTTGACTAGATAGCTGGTAGTGTACAAATAGTTCATTCCGAGGCTGCTACAAGTGAGCATGAAGTGAACGACATCTAGTTCCTAACTGACATCTTGTAGAGAATCCTGAATGATCTAAAAAAAAACGACATAATGTCACCTTTCAAGTTACTTAATACCCCTGCTGGTCAAAGTAAAAGTACACCACATACCTTGTGAAGAAATATGTCACCATTATCCGAGGGCGTGCGCGTGTGTAAAAATAGATAAACGGTTCAATAGCCGGGGCAGTTCTTTACCCAACAAGCCATACAAGCATTCATTATTAGGCCGAAATCATGGGTATGCTTTTTTTTATTGTCATTATTTACCATGTGGATTATGTACGTCATTACTGGACACATTCTGAAATAATGCTCTTGAAGTACTCAATAGGATCACCGTTTCAGCCCCGTTGAACAATAATTACCTTACTTGCTTGAAATATACCTTACTATATAACCTGTTAAATAAACGCCTGCTCTGACATTACTTTTACGATATGCATATTGTAAGAAATATCTGTTAGCAGGAAATACTAACCGTAGATGTGCTAGTGATTGATCTGTTCTCGGAAAAAAAATCACCCACTCAATCAATAAAGTACTTAAATATTCAGCGACTTCCGAGAAAACTACACCCTTTACGGGAAGCAACGGACATGAAATATTTATATAATTACGTTCTGATTAGTGGGTTGTGTGGGTAACTGACTACCTACAATGCGTTCATACATCAATAATAATGGTGAGAATGTGCTAAAGATAATTTGCCATTGACTTGCTCAAAACTACTGCAGGGCTAAATTTGGGACGCAGAGTGACGCAGTTAAGGATTGCAATTCCGTGTACCTATAGACTTATATGAGTGCAAAGGAAATGCTATACAAAATCTGGCAATACCGTCGTGTTTGCCGGGTCCCCCACCACCGATCCCAACAAGAAGCGCCTATTGGCCTGACAGCCATGCGCAATGGAGTCCTTCATCGCCGTTACGGGTAACAGTGTGAAGGTATTCACAAATACACCAGCTGACTACCGTCAGCTAGTCGCACTGCTGGAATCCATCAAGCGGCCCTTCTTCACCTATCAACTGAAGGAGGACAGGATGGACCAGAGGGTCATTCGTGGGCTACCCAGGGAGATGTCAGTCAATGACATCAAAGAGGATCTAATGAGCCAAGGCATCGCAGACGCCGAGGTTCAGCAGATGACCTCAAGGACCACCAAGAAGCCACTTCCGCTCTTCCTCGTCAAGACGAAGATGCCGGAAAAGCTTGCAGAGATCCAGAGGCTGGCCATGCTCACGGTCAGCTTCGAGAGGAAGAAAAAGTCTTCCGAGCCCAGCCAATGTTACCGCTGCCAGCGGTACGGGCACACACAGCGGAACTGCCGTCTCGCTGAACGGTGCGTTAAGTGTGGAGAGGACCACAGCAGCACCAGCTGCAGTCTGCCAGCGCCGCCAACAGGGCAACGAAACGCCAAGTGTTGCCTTTGTGGAGAAGGCCACCCCGCCAACTACAAGGGATGTAGTAAGGCCCCGAAGAAAGCTGCTTCTGCCCCCAAAGCAGCCCCCACCACAAATAGGACCTCTTACGCTCAAAAAGCGAAGAAACCTATGTCCACTTCTGCCCCAGCAGCCGCCACGGCGATGACAGACTGCTGAAAATGATGCAAGCCATCATAACCCGCCTGGATGCACTCGAGGCCAAGATGCAAGACAAGCAGTAGACCCGAAATGACTACAGGGCAAAACGTAGCATCTCTACGCATTATCTCCTGGAACATCAACGGATTCAGGGCACGGAAACCAGAAATCCAGGAGATACTAGACCAGTACCAACCAGAGGTGATGGGCCATCCAAGAAACGAAATTGGATGCTGCCCATAGTCTGACGTTCCCGCGGTACGAGACGTACCGCTACGACAGAAGGGGCAGAGGTGGAGGAGTCGCATTACTCGTCAAAGGTACCTTGACGAGTCATGTCCTCGACGATGCCGCAGATATCAATGGGGACGGAATCACGGTCCAGGTCCATCACAACCACCGTCCCTACAGGATCACCTCCCTATATGTGCCACCAGGGGAGGCCCTAGACGAAGATGACATCGCTGACCTCCTGAGAGGCCCAGGAGCACGCATAGTCATCGGAGATCTAAACTGCAAGTCTCCGGCATGGAACAACAACGTCGAAGCTGTACAAATCCAACGTCCAAAGGAACATCACTCAAATTCCAATCATCCGATCAGCGGAGGAACTGGACAACGCAGTAGAGGAGCTGGAGAATGCTGTCCTGCGAGCGCACGAGGACAGCACCCGCTCCGAGACTACGGCAGTTCCTAGACACCTAAATGGTCCAGCACCGCACCATATTAGGCACCTGATCAGGGAGAACAGAAGACTCACGCGAGAACATCTCCAACTGTTGACAGAGGAGTCGAGAGTTGCGCGAAACAGAGCATCGCTAGCTCTGAAGAACGCACTCGCGGAACTCCAAAACAGCAGATGGAATGCAGCCTGTGCAGAACTAGAGACCCAGGATGGTACAGCCTGGACTATGCAGCGAAAATTCCGTCGTCAGCGCACCACGATCCCCACTCTTCACGGCCAACGCGGCTTGGCCTACTCCAGTGAAGAAAAAGCCGAAGCATTCGCCGATTCGCTAGAATCCGAATGCAGACTCAATCACCACGAAGACGAGGACGACAACCACGAGGAGGCCGTGGAAGTCGCAGCCGAAATCATGAGGAGTCGACCACCTGGCCAGGAGACGGATCACCCCTCCAATCCAGAGGAAATCCGTCTGATCATCCGCAGGTTGAAGGTCAGAAAGGCGCCGGGAAGGGACGGCATCAACAATAGGATGCTGAAGAACCTTCCCACCAAAGGCATTGCTGCGCTCACCAACATCGCCAATGCCACTCTGAGACTTAACCACTTCCCGCGGCGGTGGCGGGAAGCCCAGGTTATAATGCTCACCAAGCCAGGCAAGGACCGGAAGTTGCCCCAGAACTACTGGCCCATCAGCCTGGTTTCCTCGATGGGCAAAGTAGTCGAAAAGGCTATCGCCGTTCGACTAGAGAAGCAGGCAGAAGAACTGCAACTTCTCCCCCCAGAGCAATTCGGCTTCAGATCCTCCCACAACACGGAACTCCAAGCGCTACGACTGACGGAAAACATCACCAGCGGCTTCAATCTCCAGGAGGCAACCGGTCTCGTCCTGCTGGACGTGGAACGAGCCTTCGATCGAGTTTGGCACGATGGACTCATCGCCAAAATGGAAGCCGCCGGAATCGATGCGAACATGTGCCAACTGATCCAGAGCTATCTAACACAAAGATGGTTCACGGTGAAGATTGGTACATGCCATTCAACAAGACGGCAGCTGGAAGCAGGCGTGCCCCAGGGGTCAGCCTTAGCCCCCCTGCTCTACAACATCTATACTCACGATGTGCCGAAGACAGCTGACACAATGCTGGCCCTATATGCAGACGATACTGCTATAGCCGCCAAGCATAGACGACCCGAGATCATCCGTAGGAGACTACAGGATGAACTGGACCACATCCAGGACTGGTGCGTGAAATGGAAAATCCGCATCAACGTCCAGAAGACGCAGGCAATCTTCATTCAACGAAGAAGGATTGCAAGACCTCTCGAAGCATCCATCTTCGACGAAGATATCCAGTGGAGCGACAAAGTCAGATATCTGGGGATCGTATTTGACAAGTCCCTCACCTGGAAAGCCCACATAGAAGCTGTCATCGTAAAGACCAGAGCAGCCATGGCTCAACTCTACCCATTACTGGGAAGACACAGCCGGATGCCGCTAGCGACCAAGCTACGGCTGATCAAGGCCATCGCCAGACCTCAGCTCGCTTACGCCTCCGCGGTCTGGGGGTACGCTGCCCCCAGCTACCGCAAGCGACTTGCTGCTCTAGAGATGAAGCTACTCCGGATCGCCACCAGTGCACCATCCTACGTAAGAAACTCAACCTTGCGTAGAGACCTGCATTGGGACACCATCCACGAGTACATGAGGAAAAAAGCGGAGAAGACCTTCGAGAAAGCTCAGGACCACCCGAACGAGCAGCTAAGATTCCCCATGGACTACGATCCGGACGAGAGGCCTCGCAACCGCAGAACCAGGTACCCCAGACCAAGGTCCCAGTTGGTACCCGCTAACTGGAACCTTGACTAGGAGACTAGGAGAACTCGCGGTTGCTCCCCCCCCACGGCGTGGATGCAGAGGACCAGGAACCACCGGGACCAGGACCCACCGGGACCAGGACCAACCAGGACCAGGACCCGCCACGACCAGGACCCACCAGGACCAGGACCCTTCAGGACCAGGACCAGGAACAACACATTGGTAAGAGGACTTGAAACTCTTGATTTTTCGAAAACAAGAGTTTCAAGAGAACCAGCAGACCCTCTATCGATGATCGCTTAACGACATCGATAGAATGTGCGAGGTAAAGGGAACCAACCCGGCGTTCCCAGAGACTGAAACACATGAGGAGACGTTGTAGCAGACCGCAGGTCACGCACAACACATGGCCTACCGAGACGCTGATGAGTCAGGCCACGCGGAGGTTTAGGGTTTAGTGGGTATTAGGTGATCTCCTCAAGACCCTGGAGTCCCACACACGCCGTAGCTCGGGCTATGGTATGGTGCGTAAATGCATTTCCCCCTCACCAAAAAAAAAAAAAAAAAAAAAAAATCGCCGTTACCGCCAGGTGCGATATTCGAGCGATCATCCGATTTTTGTACGCAAACACGTTACCACTCATAGAGGTTCATCGCCACTTGAGCGAAGTATATGGAAAAATGTGTATAAGCATTCAACATGTCCTCAAATGGTGAAGAGTGTGCTCTGCGGCCGCAGGGACATCTGCGATGAGTAACGAAGCAGCAGGCCGTCGATCTCCGAGAAAGTTGTGGCGAAGATTGAGCAAATCGTGCTCGAATATCTGCGAATCACGGTCGGGAACAGGCTGAGGCTTCTGAAAAAGCTGAGAGGGGCAATCCAAACACGTAGTTGGGTAAAACACTCCAAACCGTAAGCCTGCACCACGCATCATCATGTCTCACAACAAACGAAGGATTAAATCAAGCGATTCGGCTGGGAAGTCATTGCCCATCCCCCTTACAGCTCTGACAGCGTTTCCAAAATTGAGGAAGCACCTAGGCAGTCAACTGTTCGAGACGGTCAGGACTTGCAAGGAACAGTTACCAAGTTTTCAAGTAGTCTGTCGGCAGACTTCTTTGAGGCGGGAGTGAAAAAGTGGATTTCACGTCAAAAAAATGCGTAAGTTTCCAATAGCAAATTCGCTTTTTCAAATAAAAAATTAATTGTACCTGAAAAAAAAAATGTGGGAATATTATTTTAGAAACAACCCTCGTACTTCCAACTGGTGTTGAAACTTAGGTGCTGCAAAGGGATGAAAGAAACAGGGAATATGTTTAAAATGCGTTACTCGGAGCAGATACCTCGCTTTTCATATACAGCACATGGAACAAATGCATGTATTATTGAAGGGTTAAAAATTGAATCTAGTTAATCTACCTATGCCGAAGACGAACCTTAGAATTCTTCGATCCTACAGCTATGAGAGAGAACTATAACAGCTAGCTCAAATTGTCGATCATTCAAGGGATGTTCATGAAAGAAGTCGTGGGAGACGGCCAGTGATACGGTCAGATCAAATTCTGCCGGCATTGAACACAACTTTCTATAGTACTGAAAATAGAGTCCAACGGTAAGGCTTGGTCAACTCTTTTTGGGATCATTGACTTTGAGAATATAACCAGAGATAGGGACTATCTAAATCATTAAGAAGCACCTAATTGTAAATGCGACCTTGCCGATGGGACAGTTTTACTATGAGGCTAATTGGGAGGAGCAACTGATGGGAAACACATGGAATATGAAGTCCAGATCATAACCGTGTTATTATTACGCTTCTCTTTTTAACCCAGTCGAGTTCTTCATACCAAAAACTGACCTGAAGGGCCGCTACTTTGATCCTACGAGTATCAAAAATGTATAGGATTTAGCAGGTCTTCTTTATTTCTACCAACCCCAGACAGTTCAAAAACTGTTTCATAAGGTGCGCTTCAATTTTTTCATCGTAGTCTACCTCAAGAGACCGTTCTCACCGCAAACAACTTACGACCGTAACCCAACAGCTGCTTGACTAGGCACAAGTATTCAAATGTAAGTGTCACCAAAACGACGGCAACACGATTAGATGCTCAGTGATTGCTGACGCTACCGTCACTAGTCAATTTGGAGTTGCTTACCAGTTGATGAAATATGTCACCCGTGGATGTCATTGTAACAATCATTGATAATTTTGGTAAAAGTATATCTGTATTATGTTTTTGTATCCTTTGGAATGTTTCACTTGAAGCAGTTGGATTCATACAGCTGATACAAGAAGTGCGGCGAGCAGGTTAATAGTGTACTAGTGATCGCCAGGTACAATGTGTTACTTCCTGCTGATCGTCCATTGCACATTTTATTTATTGTGTATTGGTAAATAAAAAATATATCATATATCTAGTTAGACGTTATCTATATGCGTTTCATTTAGCCAGGTTTTCTAATAACAACCTAAAAATGTAGGCTGCCAGTTGCTCAACAGTTGCCTTTGGTGAAAAGTCAAAGGTAACGCCACTGAAGTCGAAATCTGCTTAAGGACAAGTTGCTTTTCGTTTCCATTTGACGATAACTAAGCCTTCAGTGTAAAAAAGATAGGTTGACATATTTATTTATGCTTTTAGTTAAATAGTACATTAATAGCTAATATCCCGAAAAATATTGCTAAACTTGGCACTGCACTGACTTGGTTGAACCTAGCTGTTAAAAATATATCATCAAGTGAGTGTTCTGACTTCCTTACCACATACGTCGCACCAATGGGGAGTCTTAAGCCTCGTACAGACCGAAAATCTAACGCCGAGCAAACTTATGCAAGCACATGTGAGGTTGGCGTTTGTTCTTGGAAGCGCAACAAATCCTGAGCAGACCAGTTGAATGAATCTTGAATTTTAGAGGCATCCCGGCCACCATAAGGAGCCAGTGCATAGGCCGCTTAAGCGGGCCCTTATGCACCTCTACAATACTTAAATCACAAGCCTCGCCCTTTTAGCGAAGTTGAGAATCGCCTTGAGTCCAAGCTCCTTTACGTCCTGAGGGTCCAAAGTAATGGACCCCAGTATAGTCTGCCTATAGTAGCTCAGAGCTTCACAGCGACACAAAACGTGCGCCGAGGTCTCTTCCTCTACTCCGCAGCGTTCGCATAAGGGATCCTCAGCCACCCCCATCACGTGCAGGTGCCGCCTTAACGTGTTATGGCCAGACAACAGTCCCACCAGCAACCTTAGGTTGGCTCTACCCAGAGATAGGCAGAAGCGTCCATCCTTAGCACTGGGCCCTTCGATGAGCTCTCGTGCCTGGCGGAGATGTCTAGAGATACTTCTCCATTTCTGAGAGTGTTGTCTTGCAACCCACGTCTCCATTTTCCTCCTAGCTTTATGCGCGGTTACTCCTAGAGCTGGCTCAGGACCAACGAGCTTGCTGGCTGATCCTGTTTTCGCCAGAGTGTCCGCCGTCTCATTGCCCCTTATCCCAGCGTGCCCCGGTACCCATATTAACGATACCGGATGCCTCGCTGCGAGGCAATCCAGAGCCTCCCTGCATTGCAATACAAGACTCGAAGTAATCTTACATGCACTTAGTGCTTTCATTGCAGCCTGGCTGTCGGATAAGATTGTTATTCTTCTCCTAGGCCCACCCTCCTCCAGAATGTGAGATACACAAGCCAGAATCGCAAAGATTTCCGCCTGGAAAATGGTGGTGTACTCACCGAGAGGCAGAGATAGCCTAGTTCTAGGTCCAGAGACCCCAGCACCTGAGCCCTCTTCGGTGACCGAGCCGTCCGTGTACCAGACCTGCCCGCTCACTTCGGAGAGTCCTCGGCTACCGGCGTCCCACTCCTCCCTCGTTGGGTACTCCACAATGAACTTGCGGTTGAAGCGATATTTAGGGGTAATACGATCACCCCTGCTTAGAAGGACGGGGTCCTCCCTTTCTAATTCGACTAATATGGCAGTATGCCCCTTGACCGGATTCAAGAACGCCCAGCTGCCCTGACTCCACAGTCGATGAGCGACTACTCTCGCTTCACCGCGGATCACCAGATCCAACGGTGGGAGATCCAACAGAGCTTCCATTGCACTCAATGGCGTTGTTCGCACTGCGCTTGTAATGCTAATACAGGCCAAATGCTGAATTTTATTGAGTTTGGCCTTAGTTGACTCAGTTCTAATGCAAGGCCACCAGACCAGGGAGCCGTACAAGAGAGATGGACGTACTATCGTCGTGTAGAGCCAGTATACCACTTTGGGTTTAAGCTCCCACCTTACACCGACAACACGTCTACAAGCCCACATCGAATTGCGAGCCTTGCTAACCTTGTGTTCCACATGCTCTCTCCAGTTCAGTTTGCAGTCCAGGATAATTCCCAGATATTTCACTGACTAGGACAAAACTAATCTAGTCCCAAAGAAGGTAGGCATGACCAGTCCGTCAAGCCTTCTTCTCCTAGTGAATAGGATCAGCTCGGTCTTTTCAGCATTATCAGAAAGATCGACTTCCCTACACCACGATTCCACGGAGCGCAGAGCGTCCTGCATAATTTCCGAGACTGTTCTACAGAAACGCCCCCTAACCACTATGCTTACGTCATCAGCATAGGCTTGCACGTAGACACCCATACTGTTGAGCCTAACGAGCAGTTCGTTCACCACGATACACCACAGTAGGGGTGACAGAACTCCACCCTGAGGGCAGCCTCTAGCTACGTTCACGCTGCAGCTTACGTTATTCAGCATAGCTGTTGTTACCCGACCCTCCAGAGTAGAGAGGACCCAATCTATTAGGATTGATCCAACCCCGTGTCTAACCAAGGCCTGTCTGATAGAGTCGGTTGTGGTGCAATTAAATGCACCTTCAATATCTAAGAAGGCCACGAGTGCCACTTCTCGCTGATCTAGAGTCTTCTCCAGCCTCCCGACCAGATTGTGTAAGGCCAGATCAGTCGATTTTCCAGCTTGGTATGCAAACTGATTTGCATGAATGACACACCTTTCCAGTGGGCCATCCCTTAGGTATCTATCAACTATCCTTTCCAGGGTCTTAAGCACAAAAGATGAAAGAGTAATCGGTCGAAAATCCTTCGGGCCAGTATATCTATCTCTGCCCGGTTTAGGAATGAATACCACTTTAGCCTGCCGCCAACTTCTAGGTGTGAAGCTCGTGGCCACACATGCTCGAAACACATTCAACAGGTAAGGAACAACCGAAATCCGTCTCTGCTGTAACATGGCCGGAAATACGCCGTCCAGACCTGGACTTTTGTATGGGGCAAATTTGCGAGCAGACCAAATCAAACCTCTCTTTGATGTACCGATCACGGAGCAAACGCAATCTAAGGCCAACGCCGACGTTGGAAGTCGTTGGCTTATGTTGGCTCGCGCCGTATACACCGATTCGAGCACCACCAAATCTGTAACCACACGTGCCTTGGCTTGCATTGGAATCTCGATCTGTACGCGGCTTCAAGGATTTCACACACGGATGAGAACATGACTCGCTAGGTCGATTGTGAAACAATACCCACACAATCTTCGAGCTGTCCCAAGGAAGGAGCGAAACTTTTACCCTTTTCTATTGAATTTCTTTACAAAGTTTTCATTGATATTGCTGAAAGCTCTCAGAAAAAAGCAGATAGTAAACTTTGGTATGGCAAGCTTAAAAAGTTGCTCGGGAAAATGCGTTGGGCTTACTTTTTAATGAGATCTTATTGTTTCCGTTGAAATAAGGGTCCTTAATTGGGAGGTTTAAGGCCAGATGCTGCGATTTTAAACAGTGTAAAAGAGGGGTAAATTGACTTAGAGTGTAAGCTTTTGACGCTGTTTAATTTTAACTTAGGAACATACAAAAATCAGCTTCAGTGGTTATAAAGCGGAGAAGAGTACTGGTAGGACGAATGGTAATCTTATACACATTGCTTTCCAGGAGGGTACTGGACCATAATTTTTCAACTCATTCAAGGGAACAACTTGACATTAAAGGTAATGTAATCAATGCATCACCTACTATATTTCAGAACATGTTTTTTTAAATGGCCACTTATTATTACCTTATCCACTTAACACTTTTTAAAGGCGGTTATGAAAATATTTGTTCATCGTGCATGTTCTGGCTAATAATTATCGACATTTTATCTCCTTCAACAATCGCTTGTAATCACAACATTTAAAAAAAAATTAAGAGAATATCAAGGGCCGATGACTCGCGTAGGTCAATTAGTTGAAGTGCTTATAATTGGCATCGACTGCCAACCTTCACTGGTTATGCATTTTTGCTAATCAGTAGTTGGCTTTCCTAAAATAAAACAAAACGATGAGAAAAAATGGCATCAAGTAGACTGACCACTACCTAGGTACGATGAACCTTGGACCTTCACATGTCAAACTACATGTACATATTTCTGTTTCCGTGGCAGATGTAAGGAACTACGAGCCCCTTCCCACTTCAGTTGGCCCACTTTAAGATTTGTACCAAAATATGCCTTTATAAACTAAACATGACGAAACTATTTACTTCTAAAATAATTTGGTGTAAAACAATCCCATATTTCTTGAAGCTTTTGTGTCAGTTCGGTGATTGTACGAGCAGGATGTTGTCGTAGAAC